AAGCTGCTGGTGAGCAGCTGGCTCCGCGATGGCGTGCACAGCGGCTGCGTGTAGTAGTTGTCTAGGAGCACCCCGCTGGCCGCCAGCGCGTCCAGGTGCGGCGTGCGGATGTTGGAGCCGTGGAAGCCCACGTCGTTCCAGCCGAGGTCGTCCGCCAGCACGAAGACGAGGTGCGGCGGCCGGCGGGTCCCGGCGCCCGAGCTCAGGGGCGGCGGCAGCAGCAGCAGCAGCAGCAGCAGCGGCGGCGGCGGGAGGACGGTGGAGAGGAGCGGCCGCCGTGGGCTGGGGCTGCGAGCCAGGCTCGTCGCGCGGCGTGGGCCCCTCCTTCACTCTCCGCGGTCCCCGCGCCTGTGGCGCCACCAGCCCCCGGCACCGATTATAGAATCAGGAACTGGGCGGCCAGGGCCTGCCCCGCCCCGGCACGAGACTTCACTCTCAGAGGCCTGCGGACTGGAGATGCCGGCGCGGGAGCCCCCGCGGCGTCTGACCCGGGCCCGGCCGGTGAGGCGGAGGAGGAGTCAGCGGAGAGAGCTCGTGGGGCTCCTGCAGCTCGGCTCCGTGGAAACCCCGTTGATGCTTGATAGGGACTAAGATTTCTAACCTTTGCAGCGGCGAACTTCGCATCGTGGCATCCTAAAAGTGGAGGGGGTTTTTTGTTTTTGTTTTTGTTTTTGTTTTAAATAACTCAGTACAGTTTATAAAGCATTTTCACAACCCTCTTTAAATCTCGCAACCACCCTGGCAGCTGGGAATTATAATTATTGCCCCCTTTCCCCACTCAAAATAAACAAGCTTGTAGTTGGTAGAGCCTAACCCAAACCCAGTTCTGACTGCACATCCTCAGCTATCAATGTTTTAAAGGTAGTGGGAGAATCATTTCTAGCAGGAGTCCAGCCTCCTGCCGGTGGGAGAACAATGAAGAGGCAAAGCCTAGATGGTGTTTCAGACTCATTTACGAATAGTGTACACCTGTGAAACCACTTCCTACCAGCAAAAAGGGGGCCAAATACACACTCCAACTGCGCGGTGCCCTTTTGAAAGTGCAGGTTTACTTAGGCTGTTTTGGGAGTTTGGAATGCTGTGTGGCCACTGAGTAGCTCATTAGCTTGTCCAGATACAGCTCCTTCAGAGCTGGCTCCCCAACAATCAAGTGAACCAAAGAAGTATAGTATCTAATTTGCCTGGAATAATCTGTGGATGGAAGGAAAAATTCCCTTAACCACATGCTCATTGAATTGGGAAGTTAGCTTTATGACCAGTAATTCCCACTGCCAACAGAGACCTGCCTACTATCTGTCTGGAGATAGATAAAAACTTAACAGTTGTAGGGGAAAGATTATGCACCACATCTTTTCAGGTGTTCTGAGTCTGATTGCATGGGAGTTATTTTATAACTTTATAATATAACTTGTAGATAACTGAGAGCAACGGAAACTAATTCCTGTTTATACCTATGCTGAGCGACCCACTACCATTCCCTACAAAAAAAAAAAAAAGTTGCCTCCACTTGCATATTTACTTTAATATTCCTGATCTGTTCTTTGGACTATCCTTTGAACTGGTTTTAACACCGGACCAGTTTCTTCAATAATGAGTTAAATAAAATCTTTAACATATATTCATTTTTATATCTGTATGAGGGTCATGATTTTATTCTTTTGAAAACTATCCTTTCAGACACGTAATAGTTCTCTCTTACGTATAATTTTTTTTCTTTTCAGAAGTAGATTATGTTACAATCACTTTTCATCTCTAGTGAAATCAGTGAAATTTAGCAGGAAAAAATTTTAAATGTAGCTTTACATTAAAAAGAATTTTGAAGAGCTGTTTGATTCTCGTGTTGAGGCTTGAAATTTTCATTTAAAGATCCTGTAAGGAACCTTGAAGAACTGAGAATTTTCAGCTATGGCCCTTGCATGTCCTTTTCTCCCATAACTGTTCGTCTCTACTCTTCCTGATAAAAATCAAATTGCCCCCAAAATGGCCACTAATCTGCTGGAACAATTAGAACTTGACCAGAGCTGCTCCTAAAACCAGCTAAATTTGCACTGAGCCTTCTCATGTCTCGCATTTTCAAATAAAAGTTTATGCTAATAGTGCTCTAGAAATGTGCAAATGAGTTAATTAAAAGGAATAAATTCTATTTTTCATCTATGTACTGAACACCTATAATGTGCAATATAGGCTAGTTATTGTAAAATCTCTCAATTGGAGTTTGTCTGATGTTTCCTAATGATTAGACTCAGGTTATTAGTTTGTGCAGAAATATTACAAAAGTGATGTATCCTTGATGCTACATATTAAGAGGTATGTGATGTTGATTTGCTCTATTATTTGAACACTTTGCTAAGGTGACCATTTCTCCACTGTAAAGTTACTATTTCCCCCTCGTCATTAATATTTTATGGGGAGGTACTTTGAGAATATGTGTATATTCTGTAATTCCTATAACTTTTGCCTATTAGTTTTAGCACCCACTGATGCTTCTTGTTTCAATAAATTATTGAGATGATTGTCAAATGGTGATTTTCTTTTTCAAACATTTTTTTTTTAATTTAAGTATAGTTGGTATATAATATTGGTTATATTAGTTTCAGGTGTATAATACAGTGATTCGACATTTTTATACCTACGATGTAATCACCCTACTAATTCTAGTAATCATCTGTAACCACGCAAACTTCTCACCATAGTATTGACTGTACTCCTTCCCCTTTTTACCCATCCCCTCACGCCCTCCCTTCTGATAACTGTCCTTTTGGTCTCTATTTCTATGATTCTGTTTTTGTTTTGTTTGTTGTTTTAGATTCCACATATAAGTGAAACCATGCAGTATTTGTCTTTCTCTGCTTGACTTATTTCATTTAGCATAATACCTTCTAGATCCTTGCACGTTGTCACAAATAGCAAGATTCATTCTTTTTTATAGCTGTGTAATATTACATTATATGTGTGTATTTGTGTGTGTATAACATATTTATCCACTCATCTATTAATGGACACCTAGGTTGCTTCCATATATTGGCTATTATAAATAATGCTGCAATGAACACAGGGGTACATATATCTTTTGAATTAGTTTTCTCATTTTCTTCAGATAAATGCCCAAAAGTGGAATTGCTGGATCATATGGTATATATATTTTTAGTTTTTTGAGTAATCTCTTAATGGTAATTTTCTAATTTCATTACTCTTCTAAATTTATTAGTTGCCTTTCTACTATAAAGAAGAGCTTTCCCTTCTCCCTCATTTATTTATGTCACTATGAACTCATGGATTTTTGTTTTAATCAATATACTATAATACTTTGCTATAATTATTTCAGTGCTCAAATTTCCTCTGATTTGGGCAATGAGAGCCTCTTCAGTCTGGCTCTTGTATCCTTTTAGCATGTCCTTTTTAATCTTTGAACATTTCCTTACTTTTTGGTACAACAAGATATTCTAGGTTTACTTGTACTTTTCCTTCCCCAATTCTAGAGTCAGCCATTTCTCTAAGGAACTGATTCCTTTTAATGGAGGATGGCATCTAGAAACCTAGATTTGTGCGATATGTGTGCTCATTGCTATTGCTACTGGGCTGTCATTGCTTCTAGGATCTCTCACCAGACAAAGGTAGAAACTAGATGTATGTGTACACATACACACATACATAAATACACACACACACACATATATACACACATTTTAATGTATGATAGGGATAGTGACTTCTTATAGTTTTTAATTCTTAATGTTTTCCTAAATATTTCTCCATGTTCATTTTTTCATGTGAACTTTAATATCAACGTGTCCAGTTCCATTAAAAATTTATTGATATTTTTATGGGAATTGCATTAAACTAATAAATTAATTTAGGGACAACTGAAATCTTTACGATATTAAGTTGCTGTCCTACCTAAAAATGAAGGTTAACTGTCACTTATTACAGTCTACTTTTATGTCTTTCAGAAGTGTTTTAAAATTTGCCTCCTATCAGTTTTGCACCTTTCTTCTTAAATTCATTCCTAAGTATTTTATCTTTTCTGTTGTTATTGAAATGGGAGTTTTCTCTACCATTCTGTCTTTCGACAGGTTATTTGTGGACATGAAGGCTACTGATTTCTGTATGGTAATTCATATTCTGCCAAATACTGAATTATTTTGTTTGAGTTGTTTAATCACTGATTTTTTGAGGGTTTTTCCAATACGTAATCATATCAGTAAAAACAATCTCAATCAATTAAAACAGGGGTCTCCAACCCCTGGGGTGCTGGTACGTGGTCTGTTAGGAACAAGGCCACACAGCAGGAGTTGAGTGGTGGGTGGGCGAGTGAAGCTTCATCTGTGTTTGCATCTGCTCCCCAGCGCTATCATCATCGCCTCAGCTCCATCTCACATCATCAGGCATTAGATTCTCATAGGAGCATCAGTCCCTGGTACCCAAATGGTTGGGGACTGCTGAGTTAGAAGATGCAAAAATTAGGACTGAAATAAAGGCAGCTTCCAATTCACAAATGGATATAAAAGTTAATTGTTTGGTAGGAGGGGTGCTTGGACTTGGAATATATATTTCTTACATAGAAAAGATATATTTTTCATAGTTGGCTCTTCCTATCAAGATGGCGGAGTAGGTAGGTGCTGTGCTTGCCTCCTCTTGTGACCACATCAAAATTACACCTAAACTACAGAACAACCATCTTTGAGAATCACCTTAAGTCTAGCTGAACAGAAATTCTATAACTAAAGATATACAGAAGAAGCCACCTCGAGATTGGTAGGAGGTGCAGAGACTCAGAACAGGCTAGTCCCACACCCACATGTGGTGGTTAAAAATCAGGAGGGATATCTTGGCTGTGGAGGTACCCCAAGGAGCAAAGAGTCCAAGCCTCACCCTAGGTTCCCCAGTCCCAAATTCTAGTGCTGGGAAGAGAGGTTCCTATAATTTCTAGCTGTGAAAATCAGTGGAAATTGTGGCTGAATGAGATGGAGAGCAGTGAGAGTCTCTGGCATTCCTCTTAAAGGGCCCACACATAAACTTACTTGCTGATGGACTCACTCACTCTGAGCTCCAGAGCTAGGGCAGCAGCTTGAAAGGTGCCAGGGACACATAGGGAGGAACTGAATTGTCTGACTTCCAGGCAGGAGCTGGAGGGGCAGCTTTCTCTCAGAGAGAGGTAGTTACTAGCAGAAGCCATCATTCTTTTGATGAGTCCTCTTCAACCCAGCACATAGATGCAGGCACCATATCTGAGTCTCTGTCAAAATGGCTAACACTGTTTGCCCCATCCCAGTGATTCCCTGAGACCCCGACCCACTCACCTTGCAGGCCTACCCAAACTGCTTCCAGTAGCTTTTCCATACAAACAGACTTATCTTGTCTCATGCTGTGGACTTTCCGAAAAGCTCTCAAAGGTTCACAAACCCCAAACAACCAACATTTGGCCTCGACATGCCCCGTACCTCTTGGTAGGCAGCCCCAAACCAAGCAGTAGCAGCAGCTAGCCTCAATTTGCAGCTTAGCCTCTCCCTGGTGCCTCCAAGCCCAAGACAAGTGGCAACTATCTACAGATCACTTTGTAGCTCATACAAAGTGCCCCTGGGCAAGGCACAGGCTGCAGCTGAACTTGGCCTGCAGTGGGGCCC